AAGTTCATCGCTTGTTTGAGAAGGCGAAAACTTATTTCCATGTTTTCTGACTCACGATATGTGATTCCAAGAATGCCATGCAAAAAGCCTTTCATTTCATAACGGATTTGTACCGTAGGTCGGAAGATTCAAAGCGCGTATGTCAAGATAATTAAAATCAAACCTTTCTATGACGTCGATTGAACTTGCTTTTCTGCAACGTAATATGTAACTTCACCCAAAGAATAATAAAAAGACTAAAAGCCAACAGGAAAAGTCAAACAACTAACGACTATTCTGTCTGAGTCTTGTATTGCTATTGTGCCTGATAACTCGTGCCTGTGTATTGTAACGACGTGAGATATGGATACGAGATCCATTGTTCATTATTTTGTTAATTGTAAACATCGTATGCTACGTGCTACATGTGATTCAGCAGTTCCCTTCTATTTCATAAACACAACAACTAATGTTATCACACAAACGAAGAAAGTTGCAAGACATTATGAATCGATCCTAAACCTATGTATTGCTCAGGCAAAATGTAAACAAAGAGGGTATAATAGAACTTGAATCAAAAACCTTAAAACGCCAATCTTAAACCTTAATGTTTAGAAGTTGTTAGTCAAATCCAAAATATGACCATAGTCAGCCAAACGAATATCAAACTAGAACCCGGAATGTCCAACTAAATCAGAAGCTTGTGAACTGCGACCTTCTTGCGAAAACGTTGATTTCGTTCTTCATACAAAAATACACAGAAAAATAATACACATCCCTTCCATCAACTTTCAGTGCGATCCCCCTAATCGAGACAGAGTATTGGCCGGATATGTTTGAGCCAATCAACGGCAACGGCGATCATGTTTGATTTCTGATAAAAAAAAAAATAATAATTCAAAAGTAAGTTCTACCCAATCAACTCTTATTGATTTTTAATGCTTTTAAAGATGTGATTTCTGAGCCAATTAAAAACCACATTAAGTCGGCTATTCGGCGAAAACGTCAATTTTGTTTGTCTCACCTAGACAATGTATGTAAATTTCCTGCCTCGTATAGGGGATATCGAGTGTAGCTCTGTTTTGGTAAGTACTTGAAGAACGGGCTAAAATGTCGGCATCATAATAAATGTGTTTAACAAATCAATGAAGTATATTTACTTGCACCGGCTTTAATATTTCTTTGTTATTCGACACTATAGCAATCCCTTGTTTGAATTTACAAAATAAATCATGTCGTCACATAATTGTATTTTTCTCTCTTTAGTGCGATACGTTCAGAAGCTCTCTGACAATCCCGGGTTTATACTTTCCGGAGACGTCAAATAGTACATTCGGGACGATAAAACATGGGATAGCTTTTGTTTTTAAGTGTAAGATAAAAAACTAGAAATAGAACTCTCAATCCTGTGAGTATATTTTATATACAACTCCTGTTAGTAAATAATATTTGAGGATAAACACAGATTATTTATTGTATATTATGACTTAACATCACGTGTAGGATGATTCATGTCAGTTCATTATCAATGTTCAATGTACAAAGAACTCATCGGTTATATCTAATAAGTTCATTCTTAAAAAACGAAATATAAAAAGGACTATATTCCGCGCAAGGATAATGTGTAGATACTCAAATTAGGTATTGCAAATCGTTTATAAAAAACTTACAACGTTTATTTCAGCTTGTTTTCCGTTCCACGGATATTCAATGAATTAACCTTCCCACGAGGTTTCCGAAATTTGCGTTTGTTGTTCCGAAATTTCGGTAAAATATGCTATAACAAGTCCCCTATGTCTGACGCCCACCCGTATACTGGTCTATATATTGATCCGATTTGTATTCATTACAAACGTTTACATGACGAAGAATAATTGTCATCGTGTAGGAGCTTGATAATTAAAAGCTACCGACGAGAGGGGGTTGGATACAGTTGTTAACAGTTGCGCTTTGATTATAATGAACGTCACTAAGAGTAGACGAGTAAGTAGGACGAAGGTTCCACTTAAAACTAATCAATGATGCATGCCCATTGCAGGTAATATCAAATTACCAAAGATACCAATTAATTATATGGCAATGACGATGTACAGAAACGATACCAAAATGAAATAAAGATATATGCTTGATTTCTTGTTGCTATTTGTTCCAAGAAACCAAATCTCACCATATATATTAGACATTAGCTTCCATGAACCGACAACCAATCTCTTTCCAAACATTTCTGTAACACGGAATGCTGCAATAATGAAACATCACAGAGTCAGTGACGTCACAATTGATATTGCCGGTTTGGCAAGAAAATAAAAAAAGATTCATTTGTCCCGGTTAAAAATTAATTTGTTAAATTGTATCATTCTGTGCTTATTTTACCGGTAAATGTAATACACAACAATAATATGGGAATAAAATACAAATCTATATGCATATACCACAGCGCCAAAACACAAGGAAAAATAAACCGTTAACAAAAAGGGAAAATAAATACGACATAATTAACGCAAAGTAAAGAGCCGAGAATAACACGCGGGGTTCAGGGAGTTATATATTGATACGATGGTATTTTAGAAATAGCAGAACAATATTCCATTATGACGTCACCTAAACTGAAACGTTACAATGTTCTCTACTAGAAATCTAGTATTTTTTCTCTTGACAAACTTTAGGGGGGTCCATTTAATGTTAAAAATGTTATTTCATATATATTTTTACAATAAAAGATATTTATTTTGGAGAATATGTCCTTTGTTATAAGGATTCGGATCTTAGAAAGCACCTCACATACGCAACTCCACAAAGGCCCATACCTGATGCATTGTAAATATACCACCATGCCACAGTTTGGTTTTAGCATTTTATTGCGTTTTACGTATTTCACTGAAATAATTCCACCGAGACAGCGGCTACACCAGTACTTTCCAAGTTTGAACAAACTGAACGTCAAACAGAGAGAGCAGCAAGTACAGTAAGTATAGGACCCGCTTTGTCTAGGTCAGGCCACAGACGTCACAGCCTTCCCGCCGTGGCTCTAAACCAATGCCAAGGGAGACTCTAGGAAAATATCTGTGTGTTTGTTTGGCGTTTACCGTCCTCGCAATAACCAGGGCCATGTGAGGACGGGTACCTAGGGAGACACAGCCTGAAACAGAAAGGAGAAAGACATGGAACGAAAAAGGTGTGACAATGGGGGCAGCAGATCAATTTTGTTCTTTTCCATGTCCCCTTCATAGAAACCGTGGACGAAAAAATCCCCGGGGGGCACATAAGTCGCCTCTTCCGATACACATGCATTGGGATACAGCAGGACAAATATGATTTCTTCAATGTTCCCTTAATAGAAGACACCACCCCGATTTTGCAGGGAGGTCCCATATTGGTCGCCTCTTATGATTATGCAGTGGGATAAATCAGGCATATTCTTTCCCCGAACCTGTTTAGGAAATAAGAAAGTGGTTAGAAAGGAGAGAAGGTATTAGTATCCCATATGATACAAAGGACGCAGCAGATTTATTTGGTCGCTTTTTTGTGTCCCATATTATGGGCGGATTGGCCGAGTGGTTAGCACTCCGGTCTTCCAAGCAGGCGGTCGGGGTCCTATCCCCGAAGTCGTCGTACGCATGGAATATTCAGAGAAAATGGTTTTCTCCTGCCCACACAACTCCAACAACCCAGGTGGAGTATAAAATGGTCTGGGTGGATGTTGCGGTATCTGTGCTGTTGCATTCAAGTGAGGTGGCACTATAAATGATACCGTTGGAAGCACGGTCCCACTACAAACAGATCACAATACATCTCCAGCACACACGCAGGCATTTACACATAGGGAGATATTAGCGAGTTGGTATAGGACTAGTAGTTAGCGCCTAATAAGGCAGCTCCTGCGAATTCCTCAAAATTGTATTGATTAATGTATATGCTAATTGTATTCATTATATTAGATTGTATATGTTAGCTAGATAGGGCGCTATATCAAATGTTATATATATATATATATATTTTTTAATATATTTTTTTATGTTTAGAACACCCAACAACAAATCCCCCATTCTGCAGTGGTCACCACTTTAGCCGCCTCTTACAAATCAACAGGTATATGCGTAAGATATAAAAGATTGAAAACACTAACAAAAATAACTATTTAAAACTAAGTGATAACGGATGGTAGGGGCTTCCTATCTAGATCCAGTAAGTATGATATTCCGAAAAACTCAGTGATAACGGATGGTAGATCCAGTAAGTATGATGTTCCGAACAACTCAGCAATTTAGGGTTATGAGTTTTCCATTTCCTTCACAGATCCGACTTTTTTCTCTCGCCGAAAGCGAGTTTCAAACACTACAATAGACGTCATTCGTGATATTTACTGTTATATCCGTGAAAGGCAACCAATGGTCTCAGGCGCATATGTTAATTTGTTTCGTCCTCTTAACAGCTATGGTCATTTAAAGGCGTATCCGGTATTGGTGGTGTGGGGAACACCGGAGTACCAGAAGAAAAAGCATCGACCCGCAGCCATCACCTGGCGACTAGCCCGTGTAGGCCCCTAGCCCGTGACTCCGTGGTGGAGGGTTAGTGATCGTAGACAGCGAGACGCGTACGCCTTAACCATTCAGCCACCGCGTTTCTGATAGAAAATAAAAGTCCATATTCATGGTAAATTGTGTGCATCGTGTATGTGTTTTTATAAGCGACAAACATTTTAAATGCTGGTTTTCTATGTCTGATTTATCGATGACAACTGTTGTATGACATTGTTATATAACTAGACAAAGATTTATACGTGGGTTGAAGATGATGAGCACGTGTTTTCTTAGCCACGTGTCAAAGTGACTTCGTCCATGGACCACACACTTCGCCCTCTCGTGCTTTCATTGTTGCCGTACCACGCTCCTCTGTATGGCACTCTGGTTAGCATAATCAATTATCATAAACAGGTCATTGAAGCTGCGACGTCACAGACCCGCGAGAAGAGTATTTAAAAAGATCACAGCTTGCTATTTGGTCTTTTAATAATAGGAAATCCCTGGACTACCGTTGTCACCAGCACAGGGCGAGTTCCAACTGCCAATAACAGAGACTCGGCGAATCAGCTTCCATTGGTGATGTCAGGCAGACGCAGCACCACAGCCTAGTATTCACTGTCCCCGCGTACTGACGCTAGTTTGGTTTAGTCTCTTCATAGACACAGTACTGATTATAATTTTAATTATTTTTTTATAAAGCATAAATACCGCACGCAACGTATAAGTTTTCCTACGAATCTTTAACGGAGAGAACTTTATTTCAGTAAAGCTGATACTTTTATTGTGGTATTCTTAAGACGACAGTGTAGAAACTATCTCACTTATATCTTGTTTTAAAGTTCTAGAAATATATTATAAAAGTATTTTCAAACCGCCAACATGAAAACCTCGTTGATGTTCACATGGATTCTTAACTTGGCTGTCGTGCTCGCCCTCCCGATGCAGGTAAGAGTAATTCTTCTCCTAGATTAATCTAAACAGCTACTGGAATTGTATTATCATTAACTTTAAAGAGAAATTTCAATGTAGCAACGCTAGGCTGTGTTTTGCAGTGGGTCGATCACACAGCTTACGGTAATGCTATTATTGAGCTGAGTATTGAACTCACAAAGGCAACCTCGTGGTATTTGCGTTACTTGTAACTTTCATGTACTCGGGGTACAAGGATATAACCGGCAGTGGTCACCCCAGTTACTGTATGCCGGAAAATTGTCGATGCAGTTTAATTTTCGCCATTTCGCCCTCCGTTGTGCAGGCGAATGTAACATTTCAGCGAGTATACGTGAATAGAATCATATACATAGCATTACAAAGTGACGGGCGAAATTAACAGTCGGCGAAATTAAACAGCATAATACATAATATTAATATAATGTGACGAGCGAATTTAACAGTGTGCGAAATTTAACAGCATAATATATAATAGTAAATAACTGTGAAAAACAGTTTTTCGTTTTACAGCGATAAAAATGATAAATACTATGTCGATAAGTCATCATTTTCACAAGGAGCGCGTATTACTTGATTTCTGCCCGTGGCTCTTTGATATTTTATACACAATATCATCAGCTTTAACGTTCATCAAATCCATTGATTGTAGGTTAAAACATTTCCGATTCGCTACACGTTCAATTTTTTTTCAAATAATCAAATGTTGATCGTTTCGACAGAAAAAATCATCATGTTATCAGAAAATGTACAGCCGTTTATTTTATTTTTGCATAGTTCATTATAATCATATAATCTATTAATGAAGAACTTACATCCACACAGTCACGAACTAAAGTTTAATTTTTGAGGTTACGTGTCCATACAGCAATACGAGCCTAACTACAACGTTCACGTGTCAATGCAGTTAACACGTAATAGTGAAGTATATTGACTATACACTCGCGGTTTTCGCATGTCAAACAGTCATGAACTCTATTTGTCCGGTTCCGATGCCTTTAAGTTATGAAGCATGAGGTAACTGTTGTAAAAAGAATTACAAAAAAAGAATATTGTATAAAACTATGCTAAGAGAGCACAATATTATTTGGGTGGGAGATAATGTGAATTTGTATTCCATGAACAATTTCATCGTATCGGTCAATGTTATCGCGTCAAGTCAAATAATGTACTCTAAATTCTATAGAAAAGCATACAAAATCGCCTGACCCTACTTTTACCCGGCTCTGGCCAGGTGACCGGTCAAATAACGTTATAACTATTGTATTCCAAAATAGGTCTAATAATTCATGTAAAGTAAGTTAATTGCATTTGTGCGCCAAATATGGTTATAGTACTATAATTGTAACAATATCATCATTTCGCTTACATCGTGGATTGAGGAAACCTACACAAGCCTCCCACTTGACATCAAATTATCACGTTTGTCATTCAGACTTATGAATTGAATCTAATTACAGCTCCAATGGGTCTATTGAGACTGGTTATAGTAGCTTGTGACAGTAGTAGCATTGCACATCTTCCTCATCAAATTAGCCAGTGTGCTTCAAACTGAATCAACCAATAAGGGAATGTCATTCGTACTAAATACACCAATCAGCGAGCTTGTTTTGTATTATATAATAGTCTCGACCCAAAGTTTGTGATAGTCTCTACCCAAAGTATGTAATAGTCTCGACCCAAAGTATGTGATAGTCTCTACCCAAAGTATGTAATAGTATCTACCTAAAGTATGTAATAGTCTCTATCCAAAGTATGTAATAGTCTCTACTCAAAGTATGTAATAGTCTCTACCCAAAGTATATAATAGTGTGGCAGGGTTAAATTGTACATAGGATTAAGGTCGCCTTCTAGCTTCGAGCTAAGGGGAATTTCCCTTTAGCTCAGTGGTAGAGCGTCCGACTAGGAACCTGGAGATCGAGGGTTCGATCCCCGGTGGAAGCACACTATTCTCTTTCCTGTTACAATAGTATCCTCACAAAATATGTAATAGTCTTTACCAAAAGTATGTAATAGTCTTTACCCAAAGTATGTAATAGTCTCTACCCAAAGTATAGAATAGTCTCGCCCAAAAGTATTTAATAGTCTCTACCCAAAGTATGTAATAGCCTAGACTCAAAATATGTAATAGCCTGGACCCAAAGTATATAATAGTATCTTCCCAAAATATGTAATAGTCTTTACCAAAAGTATGTAATAGTCTTTACCCAAAGTATGTAATAGTCTCTACCCAAAGTATGTAATAGTCTCTACCCAAAGTATAGAATAGTCTCTACCCGAAGTATGTAATAGTCTCTTCTCGAAGTATGTAATAGTCTCTACCCAAAGTATGTAATAGTCTCTACCCAAAGTATGTAATAGTATCTACCCAAAGTATGTAATAGTATCTACCCAAAATATGTAATAGTATCTTACCGAAGTATGTAATAGTCTTTACCAAAAGTATGTAATAGTCTTTACCCAAAGTATGTAATAGTCTTTACCCAAAGTATGTAATAGTCTCTACCCAAAGTATATAATAGTCTCGCCCAAAAGTATATAATAGTCTCTACCTGACGTATGTAATAGCCTCGACCCAAAGTATGTAATAGCCTGGACCCAAAGTATGTAATAGTCTCTACCCAAAGTATAGAAAAGTCTCTACCCGAAGTATGTAATAGTCTCTTCTCGAAGTATGTAATAGTCTCTACCCAAACTATGTAATAGTCTCTACCCAAAGTATGTAATAGTATCTACCCAAAATATGTAATAGTATCTTACCGAAGTATGTAATAGTCTTTACCCAAAGTATGTAATAGTCTCTACCCAAAGTATGTAATAGTATCTTACCGAAGTATGTAATAGTCTCTACCCGAAGTATGTAATAGTCTCTACCCAAAGTATATAATAGCCTCGACCCAAAGAATGTAATAGTCTCTACCCAAAGTATATAATAGCCTCGACCCAAAGTATGTAATAGTCTCTACCCAAAGTATGTAATAGTCTCTACTCGAAGTATGTAATAGTCTCTACTTAAAGTATGTAATAGTCTCTACCCAAAGTATGTAATAGTCTCTACCCAAAGTATGTAATATTCTCTACTCGAAGTATGTAATAGTCTCTACCCAAAGTATGTAATAGTCTCTATCCAAAGTATGTAATAGTCTCTACCCAAAGTTGATAATAGGTTTTACCCAAAATTTGTAATAGTTTCTGCATACAATGTATTTCCTTGAACGATGCTTTTTACCTTGATTTTTCCAGTCGACCAAGCTAAGCAAATGGGTATTAGCATACTAAGTATAAAATAATCTTGGTCAATGTTTTCTCAGAGAATCTTGATAAGAATCAGGCACTATAGATAAACATAATATCTAGTTACGTATTGCACCACTTCGTAATTTTTCTATCAAAATCGGCCCTTTCTTTCTTTTGCCGCATATGAAGAAAAGCTCATTTACGTTTGAAAACCATTAAATAGGGTAGAAACTGGCTTATTTATTCATGATTCAAGTGGATGAGGTGCGTCCAAAATTGTGACGTCACAATCGCAGTTAACGTCCAATTGTATAGGAGTATTTTGCGTAAATGAATGGTATATACTTATGAGAGGAACAAATTATTCATTCCCACCATGTGGATTTTTTTAAGAATCTGACCCTTTGATTTAAAATGTTTCTGCCTTATCCTCAAATAGGAAACAAGTATACTAGTAACAAGCTCTTAAATCTTATCTACCTCAACAATTTCCAGTTTATGTAATTCGCAAACTTATCGTGAAACTGTCACTAAGGCCAGATGGAGACGCGTACTTTTGTATTTTTGGCTAAAATTTGACAGAAAAATGTGTAGGGAACTTATTTTTTAATTCCATTATTAGCACTTTCCAAGCGCTCAATTCCTGTAAGATGATGGACCCGTACAAACTATCTATTCAATAGTACCCGTTATACCGATAAGGGACTCATAACAAAATCCAATTTAACCTATGCGGGTTATTTTTCTAAGGCTGTAGAGATATTTTATCAATGCTGCTTTTACAATAACACTTATAATGTCGCTTCCCTTCTTACAATGACAACTATGTCACTACAACTGTAACCATGACAACGATGTTACTACACCAGTTACAATGACAACTATATCACTACACCTGTAACCATGACAACGATGCAACTACACCTGTAACAATGACAACGATTATGTCACTACACCTGTAACCATGACAACGATGTAACTACACCTGTAACAATGACAACGATGTAACTACACCTGTAACCATGACAGCGATGTAACTACACCTGTAACAATGACAACGATTATGTCACTAAACCTGTTACCATGGCAATGACTATGTCCCTACGTCTTTAGCTATGGTGTTTGTTATGTCAGTAAGCTTGTAATCACGATATTGTTTGTCACTATGCCTGTAACCATGTCAGCGATTATATCATTACGCATGTAACCATGACAACGTTTATGTCACTACGCCTGTTACTATACCAAATTTGTATGTTTCTACGCCTGTTACTATACCAATTTTGTATTTCACTACGGCTGTTACTATACCAAATTTGTATGTCACTACGCCTGTTACTATACCAAATGTGTATGTCACTACGGCTGTTAACGTACCAATTGCTATGCGACGACGCCTGGTACCATGCAAAGTATTGTGTGACTACATCTGTTGTCATGACCTTGATCACGTCACTACGCCTGTTATCTATGTATTGGTAATGTTAATACTCCCACGACGGTAACTATTTTGTTTACATATTCTATGAAAATGATTTTGTTACTAGTTTTGTTACCATAACAATGGTTTTGTTAATTTATTTATTATACCGATACTGTTATGGTACTTCTCTTCCTCCCGTGACCATGATGTCGATACTACTAGTCTTACCTTGAGTACGGTTGTGCTACTATTGCTAACGAGGACATGGTTTTGTTACTACTTTTGCTACCATGACAACGGTTATGTTGTACCTTTTGTTACAATGACAAAGACAGTG